TCTTCCTTGAGAAACAATGCCAGGCTAACGTCCAAAAACCTTGGTTGAATGCATTCATTTTCAAAGAAATTGACCTCAAGAGGGGACAAATATAAAAAACAAAAATCAGACCAAAACTATATAACATACAGGACACACAACAAACTGAGGTCTATGATCAAGAAGGTAAGACTCAAATATAAACAAAACATCCTAGAAAAGAATGATAAACACTTTTACTCTTACATGAAAAGAAACCTCAACAGTCAACTACACGACGTATTATTGAAAAACCCAGTAAATCAACGAATAATTGATGACCCCAGCGAAATGGCAGAGGCCTTTGCCAACCAGTTTGAACCTGTTTTCACCAAAGAATCCTTTCCACGATGCCAGACCAAACACGTAACCCAAATCAAATAAACAAGATTATCACACCTGAAGAAGTATACGAGGTGCAAAAGGAGCTAAAGACCTACTCGAGTCCGGGACCCGACGGAATACCTGCAGCAGGGCCCCCGCCAGACCCGAAGCCGCCTGCGTGCGATTTCATGTTTTGGCGCCTTCTGGCCCCTAGTCAGCGTTGGCGATTGAAAAAAAGCGCAAGAGTTTTTGGAGTGGCATTGCAATTTTGCGTGGGTACAGGGTTGTCATGTTTTTTAATAATAATAGTCCGAGTAATTTTGCAAGAGGCAACAGGAAAATTGGCCCTTTGGCTTTACGGAGCTGAAGCCCATTTTACAATGGACGTAGCGTAACCAACCGTAAAGACGTAATAAGTTCTAAGCTTGCGCACATTAGATTTATTTGCGTCAAATATGTCACCGGAAACGCAACGTAAGAGGTAACCAATTCTCATCTATTATGTTCTCATCCTATCTTACGATGCGTTTCCAGTGACATATTTGACGCAAATAAATCTAATGTGCGCATACTTAGGACCTATGTTAGGTCTTTACGGTTTTGCAGCCCAATTCTCGCTTGATAAGCACAAGGGCACAGGGCATGCTTCCATTAATTTTCACTCTTTGTCACTCATATAAGAAGATTTCACATAGAACATGGAACTGAGAAGGACGAAGGACAGGGGGCGCACTTGTTCCCAGACGAGCGCTGGGCGTTTCGAGAATCAGGTGCCCGGTCTTTGGATAAAAAAGAAAATAATTGAAACACTTTATAAATTAAACTTTTTTTTATACCGGTCTGACAAGTGAACATCTTACAGGTTAATTTTAATGCAATAGAATGAAATGTCTAGAAAAGGTCTAAGGTTTAATCAGCATTTCTTCATTATTTTGGTCAAGTGAATGACTGGTTCAGAGGGGAATACAGGTCTTCTTACGCCACTGATGCATCCTTACCATGGCCCCCCTCGAGGCTCGAGCAGCTCACCTCTCCTGGCGCATGGGTCTTTGTCTTATCATCAAAACAAACATCAGTTTATGAATGAGATGCGGTGTCTATCTGTGTTAGGATGTCATTGGGTTAAATAAAGAATGGAAGCGATTTTCCCTGTTCCACCTAGGGTTGCCAACCGTCCTGCATTTCGGTGGACGTCCACCATTTAGGGTTCATTGTGCAGCGTCCTGTAACAACCTATTGCAGGACGGCCTATTGTACTCAATTTTTAACATAATGAAGAATTCAAATTAAGTCGGTTATAAACCTGGTTCTGGTTGATAACGAAAATCATATACACTTAATTTTTTCCCAAGATAGATTTTGACATTGAAAACTTTGAAAAATAAACAATAACGCTTGACCCTGATTGGTCGCAAAATGAGGTGTTTCTGCAGGTTGACACCAGTTTTACAATAGCGACCAATGAGAGGCATTAGCGGCATTATTGTTTATGTTTCAAAGTTGACAATGCCAAAATGTATCTTGGGAAAAAATAAACTATACGTACATTACTTGAAAATGGAATCTATTATTTTTGACTTATACTGAGTTGAAAAACTTCTGGATCATTTTGCAACTTGTATTTTTTATATTTGGGTCCAATGAAAATTTTTTTTCGATGCGTTTAGCTTTGTGTACTGATGCATTGAACACATTAAGGCAGAACTGCAAATAAATCTTAATTAAGTATTCTTAATACTTGCAAAGAATTTCATGATTTTCTGAGAGGTAACAAGAAGTTAACCTAGCTGCAAAAAGTGGAAAAAAGTACCCTGAACTTATAACTTTTTATACTCTTTAAATAATTTCTCTTCTTTTAATAATCTAATACTAGGATTCAGCCCGCCCGTAGGTACTTCGTACTACTTCTCTTTGCCTACAGGCACTAAACTTGGGTTGGGTTTCTTTGCTTTTCTAAACACACGCTGATGAGATCTGATAGATCGAAACGCGTCTGTGGATGGAAAGGCGAAGAAAATTAAACCAAAATTTTCACGTTATTCATTCAAGTTTGTAAATGGTATTTTTCTCTGCAATAATGAAAATGTCCAGAATTTATACCGGATGTCCTGATATTTTAATACCCTCGTCCAGAAAAATTGAAAAACAAAGTTGGCAACCCTAGTTCCACCCCCAGCATTCCCAGCGCTCCATGCTGGAAGTGGAACAGGGGAAATCGTTATCGTTCTCTAAATGTAGACTTTTTTCTAGTCATTTCATTCTATTGCATTAAAATTGGCGCGTAAGATGTTGACTTGCTAGGCCTGTATATTTTTTTCTCGTGCGATTTGCCGCCCCTTTAGTATGCCGCCCGCTTATGGTAGCGGGGGCCCTGAATACCTTCCATTTTCCTAACAAGATGTGCGGAATCCCTAAACACCTCTATTAAAAATATTCAACAGCTCGCTACCAAAAATTTGGACCCAGGCTATCCTAATCCCAATTTTTAAGAGCATCATCCTACAAACTACCGACCAGTGAGCCTGACATGCACACTCTGTGAAATAATGGAAAAAATACTTGTAAAAGATATCACAAGTTTTCTATTGGAAAGTTCTATTATTCCACCGTCACAACACGGATTTCTACTACAAAAATCAGCCACCACCAACCTCTCGAATTGTGTAAATTATTGGACCAAAGAAATTGATGAAGGCAACCCAATAGATACCGGGTGACAATGAAACTACTACCCATGGCGGCATTTCCCAACGGCTCGAGATAGAAATATGCAACTCGGTTTGTTGATAGGGTTGAAAATTGTGAAAAATTTTAATATAAAAACAATTGAATGTCTTTTCCGGTATTACCGGAAATGGCAGTTTTTACGTAAAATACAAACAAATAGGAATTACGACATATTTTTGAGCCACTCTATTTCAAAAACTATCAATTTTTGACATAGGGTATGTTAGTCAAAAGTTATTTAGAATTGTTCAGAGAGTCCAAAAATAATAAAAAATACAGGGTGTCCCATTTAAAATAACAAAGTCAATGCCATTTCCAGTGAAACCAGAAAAGACATTCAATTGTTTTTATATTTAAATTGTTCACAATTTTCAACCCTATCAACAAACCGAGTTGCATATTTCTATCTGGAGCCGTTAAGAAATGCCGCTGTGGGTAGTAATTTCATTGTCACCCGGTATAGTGTATCTTGACTTTCAAAAGGCTTTCAACACCGTTCTACACAAGAGACTTCTTCACAAACTAGACCACTACGGGATTAGAGGACCCTATCTTCGATGGAGTGACTCCTTTCTTAAATGTAGAAAATACGCAGTTAGGGTCAATGAAATCTGGGTGTGTCGCAGGGATCAGTGTTGGCTTCTATCCTCTTCATACTCTATATAGCAGACCTAACCAAAAGTTTAAAAAGTAAGTCAGTATCCTTTGCAGATGACAAAAAACTCTTCTGCAACCCATTGAAGCAATTGGATCAGTTTAAAAAGGACCTCAGTACAATCGAACGATGGTCTGACATGTGGCAGCTGAATCTGAACGAACAGAAATGTACAATGCTGCATGTAGGAAAAAATAGCCCGATTATTGACTACAAAATTAAGAGATAATAAGCTAGAGAATGTTAACCAAAGAAGAGAAAGAGGCGACTTTATAGAGACCTATAAGATCCTAGTAGTAGAGCAAGTACAAATGAACAACCCAATATATTTAAAAAGACATCTAGAAAATCTAGATTCTGTCACTTACTTAGACTTGTCACAATAATAATCATATTTAAAAATTCCTAAAAATATCGTCTCCACTATTATCAAGAGTGTCACTCCTTTCGTCAAAATTCTGGAGGTGGCGGAGTGAACTGTGGTTGCTTGTACATATACCCGCCATAAAACCCCGGAAAAACGCCATAAGCCGGAGGCGGCATATTAACATTGGTCATCGTCGGTCGGTGGCGGCATTTGATAGGCGTTGTAGGACATTTGCGGAATCGGCGGTGGCGGATATTGCATGTTAGCGTCCGGGTTTTGAGTATAGGTTAGGGGCGAAACGAAATCGGGCATTCATATTTCTCGGTTTTCTGTGATTGTTTGCACCACCTTGATATATAGGTGGTCTGTATGAAGTGAAATCTAATTGATGCCCATAGGCCGGTTGATTTTGATAAGACGGGGGGTGATATCTGTTTTTGAAATTATTTTGAAGCATGTTGTTATTGTTGATGTATTTGTATGGGGTGGAATAAGGTGGTACAACATTTGGCGCGATTGATGTACTAATAAATTGGGCGTTATCGTTAATACTCAGTGGTTGACCTCCTTTTTTTTTTCAACAACAGCTTGGGGTGGTGATTTACTAACTGATATAGGTGATAATGGCAAAGGCGAAAGATGTATTGGGGCATTTGAAAAACTTTCACTAGAAAAAATAGGAGACAATAACGTTGGAGATAGAGATTCCACAGTGCTCGTAACATATTTCGGCGTAACCGGTAAATTAGCATCAAAATCAATATTATTTTCTTCAATTTGGGCATTATTGTTTACTGTAATTGGTGGTTTTTCTACAAAAACATCATTTAAACTAGAACTACTCTCCACTAAATCATTAATATTATTCACAAAGCCTTCACTACTACTAGATTGGTTGGTTTTGCTTACCTTACTGTAAGAATATCGGCCATTCTGTTTAAATTCTTTGTAACTCGATTTGGAAATCTTCAAAGGTGGAGTCGGAGTACAATTGGTAGGAGAGGATCGCTCTCTGTCTCTTTTACGGCTACCGTTACTAATTGAAACGTCCAAGGAATTGAGACTGCTTGTATTGCAGTTGTTGATTTTATCCTTAGGAATTTTTATTTTTAAACCTGAAATAAATATAATAATTTAGTTTAGAGAAAACTGAATAAATTGGTAATAAAGTGGGTAAAAATAATTCTTGACTAATAATTGTAGAAAATTTTGCAGAATGAACAACTATGCGAGAAGTGCATTCAAGTTTTGGCACTGTATGTTTATGATATAGAGCTAATAATAGATTTCTGAAAATAGTTAAATGCAGGTATCTTTGTTTTTGTCTTTCTAGTCTTGAATTCGCTTGTCTGACGCAGTTAATTGATTTTATTCTCCAATTTATTGTGGAACGATATTTACTAAACTTGCAGTCGTCGAATAGAGAGTGAGTATTTTTTTGTGATTGTATGTGATTTTATTATTGTCGACTTTTGTAGGAAATCTTTCAGTAATCGAAAACAATTCTACCACTGTATGAAGATACAGGGTAATCAAAATGTTATTATCTCTGGCTCTCAAAAGTTAAAAAACCTTTGACGAGAGCCCGTAATAGAAAACAATTCTACCCACTGTAATTTGACTCAGCCACTGTAGCTCTTGCACAAAAGCCGGTAATAATCGAAAATAATTCTACAATTCGCCTTGGTTGGCATTTACAACAGGTTTAATTGAGAATTTTGAGATTGTACCCAAACACACAATAATTCACAAATAAACTAATTACTTATTAAGAAAAAAAATTACTCACCTCCTGAACTAACATGTGACAAAGTCATTGGCTCCACTATACCCTCAGTCTTAATTTTATCTTTAGGAATCTTAATTTTGAGCTGATTCAACGGCTGAATCTTGTCCTTCTGAATTATGATCTTAATCGGCTCGCTCATCATCGGCAACGGTTGAGCCTCGGCCTTCCTTTCTCTATGCTTGTGCTTCTCCCGGTCTTTGTGCTTGTGCTTTTTCTTCTTCTCCTTTTCTTCCCTTTTGCTCCTGTCCTTATGCCTGTGTTTTTCCTTCTTCTTTTTACTCTTGTGGCGGTGTTCTTTTTCTATCGTTTGTTCAGGTAACGAATTCGCAACGGTCGTATTCTGAACAACTTCTTGTTTTATTGAGGTAGTTGCTACACCTGGGAGGTGGGAAGTGGTAGCAACCTCTTTTAAAAGGTTGCTTATCAGGGTGGGGTTGGTTTCTGGTTCTGACCCACTAGAGTAATTTCTATTTCTTGTACATGGTACACTTGGAGGAGAATTGATTGGAGATAATGCAGTCAAAGTGGTTAGAGATGGTAATGCAGGTTCAGTTTTGATAATTGGAAGTTGAGGATGCTGCGGTGTTTGTTCAGGTGAAAATAAACTAGGTCGCTTGATGACAAGGGGAGTAGGAATTTCCTCTTTTATATGAATAGGTTCAGTCTTTATTTTAACATCAGTTTCTTGGGGTTTATTATAAGATCCATTTGGGTTACCATTAAACTGTTGCTGCTTGGGGGTAACACCTTTGAATTCTAAAGTTCTTGAACTATTTTCTGGTTTCTTTTCTTGTTCCTGAAAACAAAACAAAAACACTTTATGGAAGTCAGTAAAAATAACCAAAACTGAAAAATAAAGGAGGCTCAACTTCAATGCCTATGGTTCATGAACTCATTATTCTCATGTTTATGAGACATCAAGCTACACAAATTCAAAAACGTAACTCGATTTTGAATTGCCATTTTAATTTTTTTCAGTCTAAGCAAAGATTTTAAGGTTTCGATCGTTCACATTTTGAATCTTATATTTTTACTTAAAATTCGAGAATTTATAGCTATGTATACTTACAAATGGACTACTGGAACTTTCTTGTTTAGCCATAATTTTCTCCTTCAATCTCGAAGCACAATTTTCAAAAATAACTAAAAATTCACTAGTCAGTTGCTGCAAAAGTTCAGCAGTTACAGTTTGGTCAACATAAGTGTACCATTCCTTCTTCTCGTTTGATAATGGTATTTTCCAATTTGACCACTTACACGCTAACAATATACAAAAACATGCCACTACAGTAGGCTTGTATTGGATACACATTGTTGTAAAGTTTAAACTAAAAATAAAAACATTGTTAAAGTCATACATATTTTAAGTTACGTATTAAACTTCCCTATTACTAGCCATAAAATACGAAGTTTGTGCTAAATCTTCACTCGCTCTAACTAAATGACAACACCTTATAACGTAAGTATGTGGATGGTCTATGGCAACATCAAAGCCAAGTGTTTGAAGTAGAACATTTTCATTTAAAACTAAGTCTTGTGATTGGGTTATATATCTGCGAGAATACTCCAATAAATACCAAAAATTACACATTTAGTAGCTCCAATATTACCTTTCAGAATTAATATCAAAACTTTTATCTCTGGGATTTTTGCAGATATTCGCTACTCGAATAACGTACTCTAATTTTCTAGGTTGTTCTTCGACTTTCGCAGCCAAAAAAAGTGCTGCAGCTGCCATCTGATGCCACGGGAAGTTCGTGAAGGAGTGGAATACATAAAATCTGTGCATGTAGACTATTGCTGTATTAATACACAGTTGAGATCTAAGAAGATATTTTGAAGAATGAGTTTTACGTAAATAAAATGGTAAATAAAAAAAAACATGCTCAGGCTCATTTGAAAGGGTAATGATAAACTTAGTTACGTTTCTTATCATTAGGTAAGTATCTCAATCAATTTCTATAATCTAAAGTTTTAGGTATTATTCCAGAGTTTGTCCCGTCTACATAATCAAGACAGAACTCTAGATCCTAGATGATCACTAACTGTTCTGTCCCAGCACAAATAGGGAGACATTTTTAAAATAATTGTTTTTGCAGGAAAATGAAATAGAGCCCAGCAGCTGCTATATTTAACAAATCAGGACAAGTGTAGCGTAAAATGTGAAAGGGTCCAAGGGGTCATGCAACAGAAGCCTGACTTATTGGAACATTTCAATTTCTTGACGTTATCTTGTTGTCTATTGCCTTCAGAAGGTATATGTACAGAGACCTTTTTTTTTTAATGGGATTTTGTTCACCAATTCAAAAAGAAACTCGATTTTTTTTTTTAAATGAGTTTCTGCAGAAAATAGATGGTGCCAGGTTGCGTTTAGTGGCTGGTAGATTACTCTTATCCCCTAAGGGCCAAATGATGGACCGACTGGTAACGTCATTGGCAAATTTATCCTGCTGGTAAAATTGAAAATTTCCAATTCAAGTTTTAGTTTTACCAGCAGGATGTTGTCAAAGATGTTACATAATTTTTCTGTAGATGTCATTCTATCCACAGATTTACCATAGACAGTGATCATAGATAAAATCAAGTTTAAACGAGAATAAGTGTTTGGCAAGAGGGTGGAAGCTTTGCTACTATCAATTAAAACTCCCAGTGGGTTCGGTGCCTCACCGGTTTCAAACAGCTGATCATTCCGGTCAATTTGGACGATCGGGTTCAACCGGTAAAAAGTCGGTACATTTTGTAACGGTTTGGTGAGTGAACTAACAAACCGGTATCGCACGGATTCCGAAACCAGTAAATTCTGTCTTTAACTGTTTTGGAAATATTGACAGTTAAAAATTGACTTTTTTGCAACTTTGACAGACTGACAGGCTCTAAAACCTAAACGGTCAATCTTATATCATTAGACACCAAAGGCGATTTTCAGCCTGAAATGATTATTCATTGGTAAATACCGTTTTTATTATTTTGGTTGACAACTTTGACAGCCGAGTGTGACGTCATAGCCCCCCACCACTCAAGAATCATAACCCAAGGAATTGACCGCTGAAATGATTTGGTTATAGGAGTGTAGGACTATGTTCTTTATTCTTATTTGTTTTTTCGTCTTAACAAAGTACAAAAAATGCAGCGGAATCTCTAGTTAGTCTCGTTTATCAAAATTTTCTTTCGGGATGATCTAAACATGGTCAGTTGCAGTGAGGAGTGTATATTTCTTCCATTGGGCCAGGTCACAACACAACTGCAAAATCACAAAAGCCCGATACCAATCCCCAAAATAATAACAATAACATCAAAAAGCTGTAACCAAAAGATTAACCCAAGTCCAAATCTGAGTTATAATCGGTTGTGTGGTAGTGGTAGATAAATACCAAAAGTAAATCAACTGATCTGTGACGTCAATGCATTGGCTGAAACCAAATAATAATAACTCCAGGCTGGAAATCGCCTCAACTTCGAATTTAACCGAAGATAAATTTTAACCGGAATTTTTAATCGTGGAATAAATTCAAATTTGGTGTGGAATGATACTTTATGGAAGACTAATGGCCATTTGCACCAACCATTTTAAGAGAGGTTCAACGATAATCAGCGCTGGAAATGAAATTTTTACATGTAAAAATTGCGTTGATTATCGGTAAACCTCCCTCAAAATGCTCAGTGCAAATGGCCATAAGAGAAAAATGAAAATAATGTAATTGGTTTTGCTGTAAAATCACCCTTTTAGGTTTGACAGCCTGTCAAAGTTGCCTAAAATCAACTTTCAACTGGCAATATGACATTGTACAGGGTGTTTTCTCATATTTTCACCCTTTCCTACAGCTTCAGCTATACGAGGTGGAGAAAAACTTCAAATATCGACTCTGTACAGCAAAAAGGGGCCAAACGGCAATTGAACCATTTTTGAGATAACCGCTATAACATACCACAACTCACGTTATGTAAAAAGGTGACAAGCGGCACGTACGTACATAAACTCATGTAGACATGAAAAGTACCGAAGGGTGTTCCACTCTTGCAGTAGATGTCCAAATATCATACATTCATGATATGCAGTCCACACATTCTCATGCAGTTAATGGAATACACGGACTCATACAGTCATAATACAGTCGTTTGCAATCGTTATAAACTCTGTGCAGTCCAAGATGCAGTCACGTGCAGTAGTGTACATTCCATATAAGCAGTCGTTGCGAATGGAGCCTGAAATCTTCATTGTCAATCAAAATTGCTCAAAAATCAATGCAGTCAACTATAGAGAAATTAACAAAATAATGGATACACTTCATCAAAATTTATGACGTAAGCACGTCACAATGTTGCCGCATCAACTTCGTTTTACTTTGACATACCAGTTTTTCATCTTTCCACATTACCATTTTTGATGCAATCAATGCAGTCAAATACAGTAGGTGTACAAAATTAAGTGGGCGAAACAGCCCTCGAAAAGTACAAATAATTGCAAATAAATAATAATTTTCAAAATCGCAGTTTTGTTTGAGGTTTTTTTGGTTTTCTCAATAATCTTGTATTTGGCACATGGCCCCTTCTTGCTCTACAGGGGCGATATGAAAGTTATACGGTAGTATATTTTGACGCCTCTGAAACAAACAAATTCAAATCATAAAATTTTAATAAAAGACCAAATAATTTTTTTTTAATGGAACACCCTGTATATTTTTAGCTCTAATGAAAGTCCTTTTTTTGGTTCAGCTGTTGTTGTGTTATTTAAGTTCAAAATTGCATTAACTAAGCCTCATCATTGATATAAGGAACCGTGAACAGACCTAATTTAGGGTAATGTAAATTCATTATTGAACTTAAATAGCATAAAAACAGCTTAACCAAATATTAACATATATTGTTTAATTGGAAACAGGGGAAAAGGGACTTTCATAGAGCTAAAAATATACAGGGTGTTCCATTGGACTTTTATTATAATTTTGCTATTTGAATTTGTTTAAGAAGCGCCAAAATATACTACCGATAAAATTGACAACTTTCATATTTAAAGTTTTTTTCCACCTCGTATAGCTGAAGCTGTAGGTGGGGGTCAAAAATATAAGGAAACACCCTGTACATGAAATATGAATAGAATCAAGAAATGTCATAATATACGGGGGGAACATCTTAAAAATAAAGTTGATAACGGTACAGATGTTGTTGTGTTGGAACAGAATGTATACCTACAAAAATTGGTGTGAAAAATTTTAAGCAAAAAAACAAAATCGACTTGTCTGAGGGTCTTTCGGAAACGCTTTGATTTATTTTGTTTTGAATTTATTCCGTACTTTAGGTACACACTCCATAATATAATTCCTAAAGGAACCAGAAGATTTCACCTTATTTGAAAAGCAGAGTTTTTAACCAAATTGTATTATTTGTGGGCATTTACTGAGGGGTGAACCACTAGTGGAAATCATTGTACATTTTTTTGGGAATCACATAGTAATCAATCAGGAATACATGGACATCACCTGGGAGTCTCTAAAAATAACCTGGCAATCGCTAGGAATCTCCTAGGAATCCATGGAAATCACATAGCAATCCATTAGCAATCACTGGAAATATCATCTCACTCTAACCTAGAAATTGCATATCACACATTTTTAATGATACAGCGTTCGGTTCAGTTGTGTATTTGGCTTTAACACTAAGTTTTAGGCAACATTGAGTGCTAGAAAATTTGAAATGAATTTGATATCCCAACAAGTGTTTCAATAACTTAGCCAATAACTGAACTCGAGACTACAAAGAGTTTAGAACTTGAAGAAGAAGAAGAAGGAGATGAAGATTAGGTCTGTTCTCACAAAAATCACAAACCAGTCAGAGCGTTTTTTATTGGTGCAAATCGCCAACAACCAGTTTTCAACCAATGAAATTCGGTCTGACTGGTTTGTGATTTCTGTGAAGTATGACATGTATGTTATAGATTATAAAAATGAAAACATAAATCTTGAAACCTCTCTGAATCCGACATGCCAAAAGCAGACACAGAACTTCTACACAAATTGGGGTTTAGCAATCGCAATCGATTCACTACAATTAAGAGATTATTCAGGGGCGGGCTCAACTTTAATTTGGTTATTTTCAGAGAAGCAAAGACGTTCGTCGATCGAATATTAAGAACTATGGGAATGTCCCTGAGAAAGACACAAAAGAAAAAGTCGGAAATCCAAGGCAATAAAAACTTGGAAAGGCAGTGGCACACCCAGAAAATATATTTAGAGGGGGGGGGCTACATAGGTTGTGGCTGGTGACTGAAAATAAAATAAAAAAATTGAGGAGTCAAAGTATCACGCCCTGAATTTGTCACATTTTTTTACACGTAAAAATTTAGTTTTAGAGGAGTGACCTGGGGCTCCCCCTTGGATGCGTCACCGTCACTGTCCAGGAAATCTGATGGGAACTTTGGAAAATGAAGATTTTTTTTTCAAATATCTAGAAGACTTTTAGCTTTAACATACTAAAATTTGATTGGAAAAAAGCAGAGACAGCGGAGTTACGATTTTTTTAATTCCAGAGACACTAAGTGATATTTTTACAATACAGAGTATGGCCTGATTTTAGGGTGCGTCACTGTCCAGGAAATCTGAGAAACTTTGGAAAATGAAGATTTTTTTTTTTTCAAATATCCAGAAGCATTTTAGCTTCGACATACCAAAATTTAATTGGCAAAAAGCAATGCAAAAAGCTAAAGATAGCAGTTGCAATTTTTTCAATCCAAAAGACATAGGTACTGAGTGATATTTTTGACATAAGTCTATGGCCTAAAGTTTTAAAAAAAAATTCTAGAAATTCAGGATATTCTGGAAAATGGGGA